GTCTGACACAGTGACTGCAGCAGTGGCCTTGAATGTGTCAGGGATTGTGAGGATGGCACAGGACAGGATACAGTTCAGACCTGTTGGTCACAGGGTCACTATGAGTCATGCTTGACTTGATGAAACCTAACGGCAGCAACCGTCCATCTCTGAAAGTTAATAGCAAACCCAGTGGTAGCCTTGGAACCTCAAGATCACGTCTGTACTACAATTGACAGTAAATAGACTGTATTTGGATATCACCTTATTGACATTTGACTATTACAGTTTTCCCCCATTTGAAAGCGAACTATTAAGAATATAAACTATTTCCACAGCAGGAGGGAAATTGGTTTAGATCAGTCCTTGACTAGGATAAAGGGAAAGAGAAAAATTTAAGAGCCCTGGGCAACAATTTGCTTTATCCCTTACCAAGGTGGACCACTCTTCTTAAGTGAATGAGGTGAAAGTGGCATAGAGAATGGAAAAATGTCTGTGGTTGTCCTTTATCAGTCTCATCTTCCTCAATCATCTTTTTAAGTGACACTGTCACTGACAGCACAAATACTGGTCTATTCTTATAAATTAAAATTTTCATAAAGATTATGTTTACTGGCCAGTTACCAATCCGTGAAAAGATTTTCTGCCCATAGGATTTTTTAAAATGTCATTTCTTTTCTTGGATTACATAGTTAACAGTAGATTATAGTCCAAGTTAACCACATTTGTTTTAACCTAACTTGAATCTCTTGTCTTCTCACACGACTCCATCAATCTGTGGAAACCTTTCACCAATATCTTTCATGATCTTTATTATCAAGAGAACTGATCATTTGATTCTGAGAAATGAAGCCAAAATTATGTGCCACCTTTTGAGCATCTGTGGGCAGAACATTTGCATGTAAAAATTCACTTTTTATAATATGAAAATATTTTTTTTAGAAACTTCGTGGAGTGTATGACTATATAATTTTCAAGGGTGCCAGGCAGAAAGGAAAGAAAAAAGAAGGAAATTTTCGCTTTAAATATTGTATTAGTATCTTTAAGTTATTAAAAAATTTCAGTTATAGTTCTATTATTCTATTTTAGTATTATCTTCTACTGTAGGGCCATGGTTTCATTGTTCAGTTGAAGTCTCAGTAATGATAGCTTTTTACATCACCCCAAATTTTCACTTTAAGTGTAATATTTTATAGTGTTTAACTGTAATTTGCATGATGTTCCTCACCAAGGAATAGCCTCTCTTAGCAACATGTCCAAAATATGTGAGACAAGCCATCATCATCATTACCTACAAGGAGCACTCAGACTGAATCTTCTCTAAGACACATCTGTTCTTTTAGCAGTCTGTGGAATATTCAGTACTCTTCTCTAATATTGCAGTTCAAAGGTATCAGTTCTTCTGTCATCCTTATTTATTGTCCAGTTCTCAGATACATAGCAAGGACTGAAAAGCCCATGGCCTGAACCAGGTGCACCTTAGTCCTCACACTAACATCATTGTTCCTCAGTTATTTGGAGCACATTGCTAGGAGAAGCTATTCCTTGGAGAGAGACATCATACTTGGAAAGGTGAATGAAAGGCAGAGGAGAGGAAGACCCTTAACCAGGTGGATTGAAATAGTGAATGCAGCAATAGACTTAAGTGTGTCAGAGATTGTGAGAATGGAACAGGTTAGGACAGAGTTAAGATCCGTAGAGTTGCTGTGAGTAGCACTCAACCTACAGCACCTAATAACAACTATAATTTACTAATTCATTTATTCTGCATTTTTGTTGTATTTTTTTTAAATTTTAAAACATAACGAGTGAAGACTTATTTTGAATAACTTTATACCCAATTCTTAGATCTGTAATTAAGATTTTACTATGTTCCTTAAGCTGAAGGACTAAAGAACAAATTCAAGCCTTAAGTTGCAGTACTAAAGGAGACATTAGGCAGAATATTAAATGATTCAGGAAGCATTAAAAGACTATGGAAGGAATATAAAGAGTCATTGTTCCAAAAAGAATTTTCTGACACAGAAGAATTAAATGAAACAACAAATTAAAAGCCTGTAGTGATGAAGAAGTTCAAGCTGCTCTGGAAGAATTGGCAAAAACCAAGACCCCAAGAATTGATGGCATACCATTGACATATTTCTTAAAACAGGCAAGAATGCCTTCACTAAGTTGTGCCAAGAAATCTGGAAGATACCCACCTGGTCAACTGACTGAAAGAGATCCGTATTTATTCCCATTCCAAAGAAAGGTGACTCAAAAGAGCATGGAAATTATCAAGCAATATCATTAATATCACATGCAAGCAAGATTCTGCTGAAAATTATCTAAAAACAACTGGAACAGCACATCAACAGAGAACTGTCAGAAGTGCAGGCTGGGTTTAGAAGAGGCCATGGTGCTAGGGATATTGTAGCTAATGTTAGATTGATCTTGGCTGAAAATAGAGAGCACCAGAGTAATTGTGTGGATCACAACAAACTGTAGCTGACTCTGAGAAGAATGGGAATCCCAAAACACTTGTCAGTGCTTATGCAAAACCTATATTTGGACGAGGAGGCATTCACCACAACAGAGCAAGGAAACACTGCATGATTTAAAATTGGAAAGGATATACACCAGGAATGTGTCATATCTCCATACCTTTTCAATCTATATACAGAACAGATCATTCAGGAGGCTGGGCTTCATGAGGAGGAATAGGAATGTGACATCAGGATTGGAGGAAGACTCATCAACAACCTGCGTTATGCAGATGACACAACCTTGCTTGCTGAAACAAAGGAGGACTTGAAGCACTTGCTGCATTAGGTCAAGGATGGAATCTTTAAATATGGATTGAAGATCAACATCAAGAAGAAAAGAGTTGAGATTGTTAACAGCTTCAGTTTGCTTGGCTCCACAATCAATACTCTTGGTGCCAGCAGTCAGAAATTCAAAGATGCGTAACATTGGGAAAGTCAGCTCTCAGAGCCAGATTACTGAATCCCCAGAGTACTGAAGATCAAAGATACTAGTCTGGAGACTGAGATGCACCTGATACAGGCTGTGGTCTTCACAATATGCATCAGAAAGCTGGACAATGACTAGGGATGATAGAAAAAGAAGTGATGCCTTTGAGCTGTGGTGCTGGAGAAGAGTGCTGAATATACATACCATGGACTGCTAGGAGAACAAACAGATTAGTCCTAGAGAATGAAAACACGTTGCTCCTTGGAGGCAAAAATTGTGAAGCTACTTCTGACATACTTTGTGCATGCTGCAAAGAGGGACCAGTCCTTGGAGAGGGGCATCATGCTTACGAGGCTAGAGGGACAGCGTGAGAGAGGAAGACCCTCAATGAGATGGATTGATTCAGTAACTGGGGTAATGGAGGAGTGGAGATGAGTCAGACACAATAAAGCTGGCTCAGGATAGAGCAAGGTTCTGACCTTTTGTACATAGGGCCACTATGACTTGCAGGTGATTTAACAGCACATAACAACAACAACATACTTGCTACTAATGCCTCAGTGTCAGAACTCTTATACAATAATAGAGAACCAATTGTTTATTGTTGAAAATAAAATTAATAAACTTACTAAATGACAAGAGGTAACAAATGTATTTTGTTATTTGAGTAACAGCCAACACCGAATGCAGTGCTAAATGCATTGTACAAAGAATTTAATCTTTATAATGATCCTAATTGTTAGGGGCTGTTTTATTATCCATTTTGTAGGTGAAGCTGAGATTCAGAAGAGTCATGTAGTTTGTTCAAGTTAACTTACTCAGAAGTTAAACCAAAAACAACACTGTCAGCAAGTCTGGTCCAAGTGACTGTAACCCTATATAGAACAGAGTTGTTATTGTTGTTGTTAAGTGCCATCAAGTCAACCACAACTCACAGAGACTCGATGAACACAACACCTGAACCTTGTTTTATAACTATTGTCATTTCTCTGAGTTCATAGAGTTTCCTGAGGCATGCTGTTTAGGAAGTGGATGCCACTCCTGCTTCCAAACCTGTCTTAATCTGGGAACTCCACCAGACAATGTCCACCATGGGTAACCATTATGGAATTTGACACACCAGTGGCACAGCATTCAGCATCACAGCAACTCCAGGTTACCTTTGTACAGCAAATTGACAGAGCAGTGCTGTAATGCTTAGAAGAATGTTCCTTCAAAATATAATAACACTATATGTGAGTGCC